AGGAGCAGCCGGGGCAGGTCGTGATGAGGGGGCAGGTGTGCAAGGAGCAGTGTGGGGGGTGCAGGGTGTGGGGCCTCGCTCCTGGCTGGGTCGCTGCTGCCCAGTCCCAGGCTCGTGGGGGTGCAGGCTGGGTACTGCCAGGGCCTGGTGGGAAGGGAGGAGCCCCGGGGCGGCAGGGAGGGGGGCTGGGCTCACAGGCTGGCGTGGGGGCACATTGGAGCCCAGAGCTAACCCCTCCCCCTCGGAGCCCCACCAGCTCCTCTCCCTGCCCCCGCCCCCCATTACTTTGCAGCAGGATCCTGACTATGCCTGGCCCATGGGCCCTGCTGGATGGGTCAGGGCTGGAGAAGCCCCAGGACCCATCCCCCATCCTGGGGGGGGAGGGAGCTGGCTCCCACGCTCCCCTTCCCCACTCAGGCACATCTCCCCCCACCCAGCACACACGGGCAGCCCCCCCCGAGCCGAGGGCGGCAGTCGTTCCCGTTTAACCTCCCTCCAGCCCTGCCACGTCCGTGCTCCGGGTGCCCGGGGCTTCAGGGTGCACTGGCCTCGGCTGCCTGCTGCAGGCTGGATGCTGAGCAGAGGAAACACCTGGCTGCAGAGTGGCCTGGCACCCACCCTGCTGAGCCCCCCAGCCCATGCCAGGGCAGACGGGATTGGCACTCGGCAGGGGACATGGGCTTGGCAGGAAGCACCAGGCCCCTCGGACCCAGCACCGCAGAAATCACCTGCCCCAGAGCAGTGGGGGAGGGGGGAAGGGCTGGGGGGCAGGAACGTGACGGTGGGGCTTGGCAGTGAACGGGTCCAGCCACATCTCGCTTACCCCCGTGTCCTGCCAGCTGCACCACCCCGGGCACCCAGCAGTGCCAGGCTCCCTCCAGGTGTCGTCGCAGCCCTTTGGCCAGGATGCCAGGCCAGGCGACAGCCCTGCACTCACCTGCCAGGCGCCACGGGGCACCCGCCCGCAGCCTGCCCAGGGCTGACTCCCAGGGCCTTGTGGCTTTGCAGGAGCCAGCCTGAGTTGGGGGCATCACTAGGCTGCACTCAGGGGCACGAGCCTGATGTGACGAAGTGGGACTGTTCTTAATGTTTCCTCTGAATAGTGTGGGGGTGCCCGTTTCCCCTAGGAGTTTTAAGTATCTAGGGGTGGAGTAAGGGTGATGATCTTGAGCCCTAGAGGGAGGGTGTGAGGAGTGGACACAGAGAATGCACACCCTGTTTCCTGGCAACTGATGCTGGGCCCTTCCCCCCTGCAAGGTGAGACCTAAGGGTTGGAGAACAAAGGAATCGGTGACCACCTGGGGGGAAAGGGACAAAGCCCAGAGGAGGAGGGGCTGGAGGGGTTTTCAGTTTGGGGCTGGTGGGACAGGAGGAAGGAGACGTGGTTGTCGCTCACGCCCCCAAAATGACCCAGCTGAGGGTCCCTTCTCTGCACCTGAAGCTCTGTTTTAGACCATGTTCCTGTCATCTAATAAACCTTCTGTTTTACTGGCTGCTGAGATCCCGACTGCGAAGTTGGGGTGCACCCTCGGCTTCCCCAGGAGCCCCCCTGAGCGGACTCGCTGGGGGAAAGCGCAGGAGGGGCAGAGGAGGCGAATGCCGAGGTCAGACACAGGAAGGTGGAAGCTGAGTGAGTGTCCTGAAGACAGGCTGCCACAAAAGCACGCCCAGAGTCCTGACGGCTTCAGGGGAGCAGTTCCAGGCACCCCAGGGACCCGTGACAACTGGTGGCAGGGTGGGATGACCACCCCGTGGATGGTGCTTCCTGCAGAAGTGACGGGGAGAGAACACGAAGGGGGTTGCAACCAGCTGGAAGCCAGAGAGGAGCGTTTCGGTTAACCCCTGGGAGGGGACCAGCGAGAAGGACGGCAGAGGGGTTCCCCGGGGTTGCGCACCCAAGGGGCGGAAGTCCAGCTGACTCGGCAAAGAGGTGGTGACCTCAGAAGGCTCACACAGGGGTTTCCTGGAAACCGTGGGGAGCTGAGAACACACGGGCCTGTGAGTCCACAACAACTTGGGAGGAGCGGAGTGATCCTGTCACTCTCCTTAAGAAGGACATTGTAACCCTGTGCAAAAAGAGAGGGTTGAGCATTGGAAAGTTCACCAAAGCAGAGTTAATCGTGCAGTGGAGGAGGAGACCCTCAAGAACAATTCCTGACCCCAACTGGGGCTATAGCAGGATCTGGGAGCAGCTGGAGCGGGAGCCAGCATCCAAGACTCGCCCACCAGACGAGGGTCTTCACGATCTCCCCATCGGGGGATCGAGAGGAGGGATTGAGCTGAGCTGAGAGAGAAGAGGACTGGGAGACAGCAGAGCCCAGAAAGAGCTGCAGAAGCAGCAGCAGGATGAACTGGCGGTGGGGGAGCGGAGGGCCAGGGGACCTCCCGGGGTGAGTGGGGATAGATCCCGGGGGCCAGTCCAGGGAACCCGAGACTAAATTGCTGCCCCTGGTTGGGGGGGGTTTGGATGCCCACCTCACTGCCTTTGAGCAGGCTGGCGATTTGAACCAAGGGGACCTGGAAAAGCCCCGTGTCTAGCTCCCTTGCTGGTCCCAAGGCCATAGACCGTCAGCCAGATGGTTGGGGATGTGGACGCTCCCACTCCTGACCCCAACCTATATGTCTGTGTGGAGTTTCCTGGGCCAGGCCCCTCGGACCTCCAGTGGGAGCAGAAGGTGATGGTCAATGGGGAGACATTCTTGGGGTGGCCAAAGGGCACGCAAAACCTTCCCACATGGCCTGCAGTGCTATCCCACCTGACCTAAGGGAGGGCGTGAAACTGGAAGGGCCTGGGTAACTCCTACCAAGGAATGGGAGAGATGCTGGGGCATCCATGGGAACGTTGGTGCTTGAACTCCCCAGGTCACCCAAAGTGACCCCGCCAGTTCGATCTCGAAGGGGGAGAGATGTGACGAAGTGGGACTGTTCTTAATGTTTCCTCTGAATAGTGTGGGGGTGCCTCAGTTTCCCTAGGCAGTTCTTAAGTATCTAGGGGGTGGAGTAAGGGTGTATGATCATTGCAGAGCCCTAGAGGGAGGGTGTGCAGGAGTCTGGACACAGAGAATGCCACACCCTGTTTCCTGCAACTGATGGCTGCCCTTCCCCCCTGCAAGGTGAGACCTAAGGGTTGGAGAACAAAGGAATCAGGTGACCACCTGGCGGGGAAAGGGACAAAGCCCAGAGGAGGAGGGGCTGGAGGGGTTTTCAGTTTGGGGCTGGCTGGGACATGGAGTGAAGTGCAGACGTGGTTGTCTCTCACTGCCCCCAAAATGGACCCAGCTGAGGGTCCCGTTCTCTGCACCTGCAAGCTCTGTTTTAGACCATGTTCCTGTCATCTAATAAACCTTCTGTTTTACTGGCTGGCTGAGAGTCCCGTCTGACTGCGAAGTTGGGGTGCAGGACCCTCTGGCTTCCCCAGGAGCCCCGCCTGAGCGGACTCGCTGGGGGAAAGCGCATGGAGGGGCAGAGGAGGCTGAATGCTCCGAGGTCAGACACAGGAAGGTGGAAGCTGAGTGAGCTGCGTGTCCTGAAGACAGGCTGCTCACAGAAAGGCGACTGCCCCAGAGTCCTGCCTGGCTTCATGGGGAGCAGTTCCAGAGCATCGCCCAGGGACTCCGTGACAGCCTGGCACAGGCAGAGCCCAGCTCATTCCCGAGACCAGCCCCCAGGCACTGACCCCATGAGGGAGCAGGCAAGGCTGGCCCCAGCCCCCTCCCCATAGTTCCCACCTGTAGCCCTTGTTCCCTCCTAAAGCCCACCGCCAGGGGCCAGCGTTGCCTGGGCCCCCAGCCCCACACCTACCCTGCCTCTGACCCCAGAGCTCAGGTGAAATGTCCCTAGAATGGGGCCTCCCGGCGACACCCCATACCCCCAGCTGGACCCATCTCCCTGGCAGGAGTCAGCAGGGTGCCCTGAACCCCCCATGGCTTCTGTCCCCCGGGTCGGGCCCATCCAGAGCTCTCCAGCCCCCCCACCCGGCTGCCCTCTCACCTCCCGGCACCAGGCCCTCAGCCGCACACCCCACCCTGGCCAAGCTCCAGGCAGGGCAAAGATGAGAGGAACCAGCTGGAGCAGCAGGAATGAGCGGCTGACTCAGCACAGGGTGGGGGCCAGGCCCCCCCCTGAGGTCTCGCCCCCCCCCCCGACTGCTGCCCCTGGGGACGGCGGGTCACCCCCTTCTGCCAGACAGGCAAGCTCCCTGCTGACCCCTGGGCCCCCAGCCCCTTTCGTCCCGCAGGTGCCCTCACGGCATGGGGCACAACACCCATCACCGGGCTGCACCCCACCCCCCAGGCAGCTGTACGGGGCCCCTCCCCACTGTGGGGATGCAGCCCCCTCTGGGGCGGGGCAGGGCAGCTGGCTCCCAGCCCCCCAGCGACCGGACGGTACGAACTGGGGCCAGGCTTGGCAATGGAGCAGATGCCCCGGTGCCATCAAGGTGTGGACGGGCCAGGGGAGCACTGCCACCTGGTGGCCGGTGGGGAGACAGCCCTGGGCAGAACCCGCACCAGGTGGGTGGGCGCCTGGCCCTGCCCGCGGTGGGCGTGATGCTTTGCGGGCTCTCTTGGGAGCTTACGAGCCCTGGTTGCTATCAGGACACTGCACCCGGCGGTCCCTGGGACATACATGCAGCAGAGACCCCCAGCCCGAGGGCACTGCTGGTTTCCCCTCCTCCCCTGGCTGCCGGGAGCAGGGAGCTGCGGGCGGTGGCAGGGGGGTGTGAACCGAGGAACGGGGGCTCTGGGGCAGAAGCTGCCTGGCACACAGGGGCCTGAGTCTCCCCCAGGCAGAGCTGGGGGATGGGCACGCATGGTGTGGACGGGGCAGCCCTGCACAAGTCATGCCAGGCAGGCGCGGGTCCAGCTGGGTTTATTGGCCTCAAGAACAGAAGAGCAGGTTGATGGGAGGGATGCGGGGTGCCTGGCCCCCTGTGCCCTGGCAGCTGGTAGCCCCTCCCTGCGCTTGCCCATTTCAGCCCTGCTCCCCAGGGAGGGCTTGGATCAGCTGGAGACCTGAGCGCTGTGGGGGCGCCCGCTGGGGGCTGGCTGCACCACGGGGCCCCCCGATCTCTGGGGGGAGGTTCTGGGCTTGGCTCTGCCCCACAGCTTGGCCCAGGCCTGCTGGACAGACGGGAACAGTCTCTTAAGGCCAGTGTCTCTTGGCACCTGGGCCAGGGGGGGCGCGGGGCTGGCTCCCCACTGTGGTGCTGCTGGCCGGGACTGGCTCTGAGGCGCTGGTGCCCCTGGGACTGCCCTGAGGGGGGCACGGACACAGCTCTGGTCTCTTGGTGGCCTCGGGTCCCGGGGGGGCTCCCGGGCCCTGGCGGCCGTGGCTCCGGGCGGCTCCGTGGTGCTGCCAGAGGCAGACCCCTCGTGGAGCTGGCAGGAGGGAGCCCTGCGCTGGGCCCCCAGGCCGGAGTGAGGTGTGGTGGAGCGTGGTGGGGCGCTCGGCCGGGCGGCCTGGCTGCACGCCCTGCAGGGAGGCGGCTCCCTGGGGTGCTGGACACCCAGGGCTCCGCCCGGGCCCCGCTGGCTCCTGGGCTGCCCACAGGGTGCCCCCTCCCAGGCCCTGCCCGGCCCCACCTTGCCAGGGGGCTCCAAGATCAGCTGCCACTTACAGGCTTGTTTCCTCTTGATCCTCAGCAGAAAGCCCAGGCTCATGTGGAGGCGGCTGCGGCCCCGCCCCAGGCGCAGCTGGGGGTAGACGACGAGGCGGGGGCCGCGCGGGCCCTGGGGCGTCGGGTGGTGGGGGCAGGTGCCCTCCAGGCAGCAGCAGCATTGCAGGCAGACGGGGTACTCCACGCTCCACGGGCCCCAGCCCAGCAGCCGCAGCTGCAGGTCCCGCGCTGCCCGCTCGGTGCCCAGCGACTTCACAATGGAGCGGATCAGCCACTCGGGGCTGGCAGGGGCACCCTGGGGGTGTCCGGCTTCCGGGGGGCAGGAGGGACCCTCGCTGCCCCGTGCCCCTAACTTGGGGTGACTGTCCGTCCTCAGGACAACGCGCTTCTTCGGGTGGCGCTGCGTCCTGCCCGGGACCCGGCACTGGGATGGGATGGCGGAGAGCTCCGGCTGCAGGGCCAGCCTGGGGGGGCTGCGGGCAGCCCCATGGCTGTGGGGTCGGGTGGTGTCTCCCCAGGTGATTCCAGGCTGCACAGGCCATGGGGAGCGCCGTGAGCCACTCTGCCCTCTGGGCTGCACTATACTGCCATCTTCCTCTCCGGCAGCCCTGGGTCCCGACAGGCCCACTGCCCTGGGGAGAGGCTTGGAGGTGGGGTGTGTGGCCTCTGGCTTCCCCGGGCTGGGCACCCTCGGCAGGGAGTGGGCACATTCACCCTTCTTGAAGTAGAGCTGGAATGGGAGTTGGCTGGCTGGTGCGTGGCCTGGGTTGGGCAGGCGGCTGGCTGGTGCGTGACCTCGGGAGGGTGGGCGGCTGGATGGTGCATGGCCCAGGCTGGGCGGGCGGCTGGATGCTGTGTGGCCCGGGCTGGGTGGGCGGCTGGATGCTGTGTGGCCCGGGGTGGGCGGGCGGCTGGCTGGTGCGTGGCCCGGGGTGGGTGGGCGGCTGGCTGGCGCGTGGCCCGGGGTGGGCGGGCGGTGGGATGCTGTGTGCCCGGGATGGGTGGGCGGCTGGCTGGTGCGTGGCCCGGGGTGGGTGGGCGGCTGGCTGGCACTTGTCCCAGGGTGGGCGAGCGGCGGGATGCTGTGTGGCCTGGGGTGGGCAGGCGGCTGGCTGGCGCATGGCCCGGGGTGGGTGGGCGACTGGCTAGTGCATGGCCCGGGGTGGGCGGGCGGCTGGATGCTGTGTGGCCCGGGGTGGGTGGGCGGCTGGCTGATGCATGGCCCGGGGTGGGCGGGCGGCTGGATGCTGTGTGGCCCGGGGTGGGCGGGCGGCTGGCTGGTGCATGGCCGGGGGTGGGCGGGCGGCTGGATGCTGTGTGGCCCGGGGTGGGCGGGCGGCTGGCTGGTGCGTGGCCCGAGGTGGGCGGGTGGCCGGATGCTTCGTGGCCCGGGGTGGGCGGGCGGCTGGCTGGCACGTGGCCCGGGGCAGGTGGCATGAACCGATGCAGTGAGGCCTGGACCCTGCCGGGCAGCCCCCAGCGATGCTGAGCCTGCACGGTGATGAGATGAGACTCCAGTTCCCTCCGGGCACTGCTGCAAAGGAAGGGCAGCTCCTGGGGGCCGATGGCCACCTCCCTGGGGCGCCTGGCTGGCCGGGCGCTGGGGGGGGGTGCCGGGGCCAGGAAGGCTGCCAGGGAGCGCTGCAGGACGGGGGGCAGGCCCCACTGGTGCTGCAGCTTCTTGCTGCGGATATGCCACTCCAAGCTGTGGCGGGAGGCGGTGCTCAGGAAGGGGGTGCCCTGCTCGGCGAGCTCCAGCCCTGGGCGCCGCACAGCGCTGGGGCCGGGCAGGCGGGGGGCGCTGGGGACCAGCCGGGCCAGGGACTGCGTGTACAGGCCAGGCAGCCCCCACAGCAAGAGCAGCCCCTTCTGCCGGAGGTTGAGCTCGACGCGCCGCGCGGCCTCCGGCTCCAGGGCCGGGCACGTGCTGGGGCGGGGCTGCCGGTGTCTCTGGCCCGGGTGCAGCAGCTTGGGCAGGGCCGGCGGCTTCCCCACGGGGGCGGCTTCCTGCGAGGCATTCACCAGGCTGGGCAAAGCCCCCGCCTTGATCTCCAGACACTTCCGCGCCCCGTGGGCCTGCAGCCTGGCAGCTGCCTGCGGGCTCAGCCTGTCCAGGGCAGTGCAGGCGTGGGGCACGGGGCGTCCGGCGTCTCCATGGGGCAGTGCCACGTCACACACGCAGGGCTCCTGGCTGTGCCGGACGGCGTCAGCGCCTGAGGGGACAGGAGAGGAAGGTGAGCGGCCGTGGGGCCCACCCCTGTCCTTTGACCCCTTTTGAGGAGACCCCCTTAAAGCTCCGGGTACCCCCCTTAGAGCTGAAGGAGCCCCCCATCCCCCCTTAGAGCTCCGGGTACCCCCATAAAGGTCCAGGAGCCTCCCATCCCCCCTTAGAGCTCCGGGTACCCCCATAGAGGTCCAGGAGCCCCCCAGCCCCATTAGAGCTCCGGGTACCCCCATAAAGGTCTAGGAGCCCCCCATCCCCCCTTAGAGCTCCGGGTACCCCCATAAAGGTCCAGGAGCCCCCCAGCCCCCCTTAGAGCTCCGGGTACCCCCATAAAGGTCCAGGAGCCCCCCAGCCCCCTTAGAGCTCCGGGTACCCCCATAGAGGTCCAGGAGCCCCCCAGCCCCCTTAGAGCTCCGGGTACCCCCATAAAGGTCCAGGAGCCCCCAGCCCCTTAGAGCTCGGGTACCCCATAGAGGTCCAGGAGCCCCCCAGCCCCCCTTAGAGCTCGGGTACCCCCATAGAGGTCCAGGAGCCCCCCAGCCCCCTTAGAGCTCCGGCCTCCCGCAGCACTTGTGGCTCGCCGCTGCCGTCTGCTGGCGATGCCAGGAACCCGGCTAACGCACCCGCCAGTGGGGCTCCCCCTGGCTCCCAGTGTCCAGGGTGGGCCTGGGGCAGAGCTGCTGCAGTGCGGCCCCTGCTCCCGCCCCACGCCCCGGGCAGCCTGCAGCTCGTCTCACTGCATCGCCCCGGGACAGGACCAGTGACAGCCCGCTGGTGGGCAGAGGGGGCAGCGCAGGGGCTCTCCCTGCCCAGGCTCATCCCCGCAGAGGCTCATTGGCCCCCCCGCGTCCCAGGCCTTGAGGGAGGGGGACGAAGCCCTGCACCAAGGCCTGGCGCTGACCCGGTGCCAGGGGCTCACCAGCCCCGCAGCGTCAGGGCTCTAAGTCCTGCCCTGCTGCCCGCCGAAGGGGCTGCTGGCCCTTTGAACGGGCCCCAAATGTGCCCTGTGCCCCCAGCCTGGTACCCTGGGGGTCAGGCAGGGAGCCCAAGGGGGCTACACCCAGGCGCAGGAGGAAGGCCTGAGCTGGGCGAAGGGCGCTGCTGGTGGAGCGGTGACTGGGAGCCAAGGCCCTGGGGCACGGGCACCGTACCCATCGCCAGGGCCCAGAGCAGCGAACACCCCCCCCCAGGCTTACGGGGCTGGGGTTTCCTCTCGCCCGGCGCTGGCAGCAGGAGGGCTTTCAGCAACTGCAGGAGGGCGCTGGGGAAGGCCCAGATGTGCCAAGGTGTCTCTTGCTGGCTCTGCCCGTCCCCATCTGCCTGCCTCTGGCTGCCCACCACAGCAGCCTCCTCCTTCCTTGGCCCTTTGGCCAGGGCCTCCGTGAGCCGTGTGGGGAGGCCCCAGAGGGAGGCCAGGGTCTTGCACTCCAGGCTGCGGACGGACTCCTTCGGCACGGCTGGGAACGCCGGACCCCGGGGCTTCCCGGCCTGGGCCCCGGGGCGGACGGACCTGGGCAGTGCAGCTTTTCGGCCAGGGGCAGCGCTGCTCTGGGACCATCTCACCAGCCACGGCAGCGCCTCCAGCCGGCACTCCAAGCTCTTCCTGGCCAGATGGCGCTGCAGCCTGGCCACCTTGGCCAAGGTGAGGTGGCCCAGCACGGCCCGGGAGCGGGAGCCTGCTGGGATGCACGCACGGGACTCCTGGCTCTGCTGGGGACGCAGGGGGCTGGCACCAGCTCTCTGGGTCTTGGAAAGTCCATGGAGTCCGTGGTGTGGTTCTAAGCCCTGTTCCGTGCCCGTCGGCCCGGCATTGGGGCTGCGCGGGGTCAGGGGCGGCAGGGTGCCGTAGGACGCTGGGCAGAGGCAGCTCTGCTCCTGGCGGAGCTGCTGGCTCAAAACATGCCACTCCAGCTCCTCGTGCCCCTCGGAGCTGCGGAAAGAGACCCTGCTTGTGCTGAAGGTGACGCCTGGGCTGGTGCCCCCAGCCCCCGGGCACAGGGTGGGCGCGCTGGGGACCAGCGGGGCCGGGGACTCGGTGTGGGGCGTCGGGGGCTCCCACAGGTGGTTACACTGCATGCTGAACTCCAGGCTGTGCGGCGTGACCTGGCCCAGGATGGGCAGCCTCGGGCTCCGCGCCCGACGGCCCTGGGCCCCCGCAGCCGGGCGCTTGGGGAGGGGCTGAGAGTTGCTAGCAGGCGTTGTGTTTCCAGCCGCTCCTGGGCAATGGACCGGGTGCCACGGGCGAGGCGGCAGGGGTGCCAGGGGCAGGGTCTCCCAGGACTCCCGCGGGTGCCAGGCAGCGTCTCTTCCCGAGCAGCAGGGGCAGCTGCCCAGCGAGGAGGGGCAGGAGTCCACAGAGCTGGAAGCACCACTGGGGAACTCAGCCTGCCAGGCCGCCCTGTGGGAGAGAGAGACACGGACAGCGAGCGAGGGAGTGCATGGCACAGGCTGGGCATGGGCGGGGGGAGTGGGGGGGGGGGCTGCCCGGGGGAGGGGGAGTGGCACAGGCTGGGCATGGCGGCGGGGCAGCTGGGGCAGGGTCGGGGGGGAGGGGGGCGCCGGGGGGGGATGGTGGGGAGGAGGGCTGCCCGCGGGGAGGGGGATCTGGGTGGGGCAGGGCCGATGGCGGGACGGGGCCGAGGGTGGGGCAGGACGGGGCTGGCCGCGGGGAGGGGGATCTGGGTGGGGCAGGGCCGATGGGGGGGGGGGCGGGGGGGGGATCGGGGGGGAGGGGGGGGGACGGGGCCGATGGTGGGGCAGGACGGGGGGCGCGCCGTGGGGCAGGGGGCAGGGCCGATGGCGGGAGGGCGATGGCGGGACGGGGCCGAGGGTGGGGCGGGAGGGGGACGGGGGGGGCCGTGGCGGGCGGGGGAGGGTGGGGCGGGGAGGGGGATCTGGGTGGGGCAGGGCCGATGGCGGGACAGGGCCGATGGTGGGGCAGAACGGGGCTGGCTGCGGGGAGGGGGATCTGGGGTGGGGAGGGATTGGGCCCGTCCGTAGTCCCAAGGTGCCGTCTGCGGCTGGGCTGGGGCACAAGCTCCATGGGGGGCAGGGAGGGGGGCAGATCCGTGGGCTGGGGGGGGCTCCGTGAAGTGGCTGAATCGGCGTCTGGCCAGACCCAAGTGCTGCCCTCCCTGGGCGCGAGAAGGGCACGCGCCGGCCGTGGGGGGTGGCATGGGGGGGCTCAGCTCCCAGAGCAGGAGGCTGTTTGCCCAGTGGGGTGAAGCGGGCGGCTGAGGGGACCCCGAGGGGACCCAGGCCCCGCCCCACGGAGGATGGCCCCACTTGCCTGTGTCTGCATCGCAGGCAGAGGGCCCCACCCCCACCCCCTCTGGGGCCCGGGCCCCCACCCCCCCGGGGCTCCCCCTTACGGGCTGGCGACTTCGCCCAGGTGCCGGGCAAGGTGCAGCAGGTGGCATTCCACCGTGTGCAGCGCGTGGCCCCAGGGCAGCTCCTGGGGCAGGGCCGGGCAGCTGCAGGAAAGGAGCGAGCTCAGGTCAGCTCCCCGAGACGGGCCTCTCCCGCCCCTCTGCCCCCCAGCCCTCGTGCGTACCTGGGCCCTCGGGACGGCGCTCGCCCCCGGGGTCCCTGCTCCTGCAGCGCAGAGGGGGCTGGAGGAGACACAGAGCAGACCGTGAGCTGCTGGGGGCCTGCCGGACCGTGCCCCGAGCTCGGCAGCCGTGCGGGGAGAAGGGGGCTGCTCACCTTGCCGTGCTCTCCGGCGGCCCCTCTGCCTCATCCTCCTGCGCTGGGCCTGCTGGGCACACACGACATGAGTGGCCATCACGGCTCGGCTAGGACGGGCAGGACACCTGCCCATGGGCAGCTCTGTCCTGGGGCTGCCGGCCCCCTGCAGCACTGGGGCCTTCGCTGGCCGGCTGGCCCGGAGCTGGGGGCTGCTGGGCACTGCCAGAGGCAGCTCCCCCCCCCAGACTGCCCCACACGCATGGACAAGTCACTGATTTCTCTAGGGACCCCAGGGGAGGCGGGACGGGACCTACAGGGTGAAGCCATAGCCGGGCTACGCTGCCCACCCCAAAATCATGACCAGCTGCGCCTGGCCATCACCCTGAGAGCAAATTCGAGCACCCACCCAGGACACAAGTGACGTGGCTTCGAATCCCCATTGAGTCCCAGGGTGAGCAAGGGCAGGTTGTCACGGAGTCCCTGGGCGATGCTCTGGAACTGCTCCCCATGAAGCCAGGCAGGACTCTGGGGAAGTCTCCTCTCTGTGAGCAGCCTGTCTGCAGGACACACAGCTCCCCCGGCTTTCCACCTTCCTGGCTCTGACCTCGGACCATTCAGCCTCCTCTGCCCCTCCGTGCACCCAGGCGGGGTCCTGGGGAAGCCCGAGGGTCCTGCCCCCCAACTTCGCAGTCAGACGGGACTCTCAGCCAGCCAGTAAAACAGAAGGTTTATTAGACGACAGGAACATGGTCTAAAATGGAGCTTGTAGGTGCAGAGAACTGGACCCCTCAGCTGGGTCCATTTTGGGGGGCAGGGAGCCAGACAACCACGTCTGCCCTTCACTCCAGGTCCCAGCCAGCCCCAAACTGAAACCCCCTCCAGCCCCTCCTCCTCTGGGCTTTGTCCCTTTCCCGGGCCAGGAGGTCACCGGATTCCTTTGTTCTCCAACCCTTCAGCTCTCACCTTGCAGGGGGGGAAGGGCCCAGGCCATCAGTTGCCAGGAAACAGGGTGTCGGCCATTCTCTGTGTCCAGACTCCTGCACACACCTGCCCTCTAGGGCTCTGCAGTGATCATACACCCTTACCCCACCCCCTAGATACTTAACTGCATAGGGGAAACTGAGGCACCCCCCACACTATTCAGAGGGAACATTAAGAACAGTCCCACTTTGTCACACAGGTCCCCCATCTCCTGTCTCTCCCCTGCCCTGCAGCCCGTCTCAGGGTGTGAGAACAACACGAGGCCCAAGGCAGGCTCTGCAGACGCAGCCCGGGCCCTGCCTCCATGGCACTATTTGGCGTCTCCCTAAGCCAGGCGCCAGGAGCTGATGCAGGGAGAGTTCGGGGTGCTCTGCACTGGCGATTCTGGGGGTTTCTTGCCCCGGTCCCTGCATGAGGAGGCAGTGCCCCGGCCGCACAGTGGGTCTGAGCCACACGCTGCTCTAATCCCCCAGCACGGCTTGGGGTATTTGCACCTTTGATCCCCCTGTGACGAAGTGGGAATGTTCTTAATGGGGACAGCCCCGCCCCACCCCAACTGTGTGTGCCTCAGTTTCCCCTATGTGTTACTCGAGTATCTAGGTGGAGGGATCGGGGTGGCGGGGGGAGATGATCTGTGCAGAGACCCCCAGAGGGCAGGTGTGACTGTGATGGGCTGCCTGGGCACAGAGACTGACCGACACTCTGTGGCCTGGCAACTGACGGCCAGAGCCCGGCAGCCAGTGGTGTTGGAGAAGAGAGACCAGGTGACCTGTTTGCCCAGTGGGACTAAGCGGGATTGTTCTTAATATTCTCTCTGAATACTGTAGGGGTGCCTCAGTTTCCCCTATGCAGTTCTTAAGTATCCAGGTGGTGGGATAAGGGGGTGTGATTGTGGCAGAGCCCTAGGGGGCCAGTGTGATGCTGTCTGCACAGAGACTGGCCGACACCCTGTCTCCTGGCCCCTGATGGCCTGGGGCCCTCCCTTGCAAGGTGCCAACTGAAGGGGTTGGAGAACAAAGAGATCAGGTGGCCTCCTGGCCCAGGAGAGAGACAAAGGCCAGAGGAGGGGCTGGGGGTGACGGAGGTTTGGCTGGGGGAAAGGGCTCTGGGGTCCTGGGCTCCTCTTCCCCCAAGATGGTTGGCTGAAAGTTCCTGATTCCTGTCCTAACAAAATCTGTCCTACGCTGTGCTCCTGTCGACTGATAACCCTTCTGGTTTCCACCGCTGGCTGAGGGTCACGCCTGACTGCGGGTTTGGGGTGCAGGGCCTGTTGGGAGCTCCCAGCGAGAACAGGGGGCTGAATGCCTCAAAGCCGAGGAGGGTTCCCCTAGCAGAGCGTGCCCTGAGGGGAGCCACTGTCACACTAGAGGGTCCTGCCTGGGTTTGATTCAGAGCCTGTGACCTCAGGGAGACCCAGGCTGGGGGGAGAACAGGGGAGACTAAGTCTGGGCTGCTGGAAGCGAGTCAGCCTCTTGGTTTGGGATTCGGGGGGGAGCCCAGGGCTCTGGGTCCCCCCAGATGGACTTTGCTGAAGGTCCCCACTCCCTGTGCTCACAAGCGCTGATCTGCGCTGGGTTCCCGATGACTAATAACCCATCTGTGTCACACGCCGGCTGCAGGGTCACTGCTGGCTGCAGAGAGGGGGCAGGGCCCTTTGGGGGTGCAAGGAGTCCCGTCCAGGGGGGCTCACTGTGGGGCGCTCCCGGGGCGAGCAGGGGGCTGAGTGCTCCGAGGTCAGACCCAGGAGGTGCCGAAGCCGAGCAGGCTCCTGGCCCTGGTCACAGGTGCCCTGAGGGGGAGACACTGCCCCAGAGTCCACACCCCTCTCCCCCCCAGGGTCTGCTCAGGCCTCTGGCCTCTCTCTCTGGGCAGTGCCGGTGTCCTTCTCCCTCCTAACAGTCCCTCACACCCGCTGTGACTGTCCCGAGTCCAGCCCTGGGCCGTGCTCTGCCCGAGGCTCTGAGCGCCGCGCCTGTCCCCGGGGTCCCAGCTCTTCCCGGGCATCCGGAGGCAGAAAGAGCCGAACTGCCCTGGCAGCGCCAGGGGCCGCGTCCTGCCGCAGTGCTGGGCCTTTCCTCGGCCAAGAGTCAGCTCCAGTTGGGGAATCCAAACGAAGGCCCTGGGTCGGGTCAGGCTGGCCCTGGGCCACCCCTAGGCCATGTCTCCTGAAACCCGGCCTGGGCAATGGGGGCACTTCCTGCCCGCCAGGGCCGTTCTAGCCACCCTGGCGGAGCAGAGCCAGGCACCGGCCCACGCAGCCCACCCCAGCGGTAACGCGATCCGGTGCCCAGAGCACGCCGGGCTCCCATGGGCTGCCCCGCCTTCCCCGGCCTCTCACTCACCCCCCGTGCTGCCAGGCTCCTGAGAGCCCAGAGCCCGGCGAGCAGCAGCCCAGCCCTCAGCACGGCCAGGGGGGCCCCCGAGCTCAGACACGGGAGCAGCTCGCTCATGGCCTGGGGCAGCCCTGAGAACAGCAGCTGCCTGAGCCCCGCTGGGCTGGGCGATCAGTGCCACACGTGCGATCCCCGCATCACAATGCAGCTGTGCCAGGCCCCGGCACGGCTCTGGGGCTCAGCAAAGACCAGGTGATGCCGCCGAGACCTCACAATAGGGGGCAGAGCCGGGCTGGCCAGGGCTCCACACAACTGGGTCCCCCGGGAAAGGGGAGCTCGCCCCCCGGCTGGGCAGTGCCAGGCTGGCAGGACGGGGGTGCTGGGCTTTCAGAGCTGCCTCCGCACGCACCTCAGATCTGCTCCAGCTGGGTTCCAGCCTGAGCGCCACTCGCCAGGGCCCGCCCGGAGCCCGCCCGGAGCCCGCGGCGCAGGGCCAGGGCGAGACCAGCCCAGGCAGCCCCACGCTTGGCGACGCTGGGGCGTCCCTGTCCCGCGCTGCTGCCTTGTGTCCGCCGGAGCCGCGTGGCCCGGGGCAGGGCACCCAGCGGCTCCCCTGGCTCTGGGGTTGGGGCGCCTGGCCCAGCAGCCCACCCCATGCCCCGGGTCCCCGCAGAGTCTCCTTGTGTGCGGAGGGAGAGGGGGAGGGCAGCTCGTGGGGGGGCCAGGCTCAGGGGTGGCTGCCAGGAGCAGGGGCAGCGCGTTATATGGGCCCGTGGTGCCCGGGCTCCAGCAATATTCAGAGCACAGGGGCCCAGCTCCACCAATGGTTGGGGCCAGGGCTCTGCCCCAGCCCCACCTGCCGGCCCCACACGCCTCCCCCAGAGCGACGCTGCCTGGGCCCTGAGCTGCTCCGCGCTGCGGCCGGCTACAAGAGGGAGTGGTGCGGGGGGACGAGGTGCACACGTGATGGAGCCCCCCCCCCAGCGGACGCCCTAGGAGCACGTGCAGTGACAGTGGGGCTGGGGGGAGTCCCCATCTCTGGCCCAGCCCCAGGGTAGCCTGCACCCCAAACCCCTCATCCCCGGCCCCATCCCACCCCAGAGCCCACCCACCCAGCCGGAGCCCTCACCCCCCCACCCCCACCCCTCATCCCCAGCCCTGCCCCACCCCAGAGCCCACCCTCTCAGCCGGAGCCCTCACACCCTAACCCCCACCCCAAACCCCTCATCCCCGGCCCCATCCCACCCCAGAGCCCACCCACCCAGCCGGAGCCCTCACCCCCCCACCCCAACCCCTCATCCCCAGCCCTGCCCCACCCCAGAGCCCACCCTCTCAGCCGGAACCCTCACCTCCCCCACCACAATCCCCACCCCCCACCCCACACCAGAGCCCCCCCTCCCAGCCGGAGCCCTCACACCCTAACCCCCACCCCAAACCCCTCATCCCCGGCCCCGCCCTACCCCAGAGCCCACCCTCTCAGCCAGAACCCTCCCCCCCCCACCCCACCCCACACCTGACCCCCCCCCCAGCCGGAGCCCTCACACCCTAACCCCCACCCCAAACCCCTCATCCCCAGCCCCACCCCACCCCAGAGCCCACCCTCCCAGCCGGAGCCCTCACACCCTAACCCCCACCCCAAACCCCTCATCCCCAGCCCCGCCCTGCCCCCCGCCCCAGAGCCCACCCTCTCAGCCGGAACCCTCACCTCCCCCACCACAATCCCCACCCCCACCCCACACCAGAGCCCCCCTCCCAGCCGGAGCCCTCACACCCCAACCCCCAC